ACACCCTGTTTTGGACCGACAGGTGGCTGCATGGTCAGTGCATCGTAGATTTGGCTCCTCGACTGTTTGCTGTCGTTTCTAAAAGAAAGATTAAACAGCGTACAGTCAAAGAGGCACTTAATAACCGGGCTTGGATAGCAGACATTCAAGGGGCTATTACTGTTGGACTGATAATTGATGTGTTCCAGTTGTGTGATACCCTTTCAGGCATTGTTTTGCAACCTGGAAAGGGGGACAAACATGTCTGGAAGCTTTCATCTAATGGCCAATATTTGGCTAAGGCGACATATGAGGGTTTGTTCTTTGGAGCTACTCTCTTTGAACCATGGGAAAGAATTTGGAAGACTTGGGCGCCACCAAAATGTCGGTTCTTCATGTGGATAGTGGCCCACAACAAGTGTTGGACATCTGACCGCCTTGCATGACGTGGAATGCCTCACCCAGATTATTGTCCGCTGTGTGATCAAGAAGAGGAATCAATCAGCCATCTCCTTGTGGAATGTGTATTCGCCAGGGAATTTTGGTTCATTTTGCTTCGGCAGGTTGGTCTCCAGACTTTGTCTCCCAACCTACTGATAATTCCTTCATGGACCGGTGGAGAGAGCTAATAATGCTACTTCTGATATGGTGAGGCAAGAAGTTAATTCCCTAATTATTTTGGGGGCCTGGACTCTTTGGAAACATCGCAATCGCTGTGTCTTTGATGGAGCAGCTCCAAGTGTGGTTGGGGCTGTTGTAATGGCCAGTGAAGAACGTCGGTTGTGGACTAGTGCAGGGGCTCGAGGGCTCTCCCTCTTGACCGCCCATCTCCCAGGTGATTAGTTCCTGGGATCTCTGCGGGCCAACTTCAACTAGCCGAGCTGCGTTTGTGCCTTGGCTGGTGTAGCTTGTGTCGTGTGTGTGTGTGTGTGTGTTGTGTTTTGGGTGTTTGTAAGTCTGGGTTCTTGTACCCTCTTTTCTTCTTAATACAATGAGACGTAGATCTCCTGCGTTTTTCGAGAAAAAAATAAATGTCTAATTAAAAGACGTGAAATATAAATCTATTTATGTGTTTTTGTGCACTAGACATACATATATATATATAGCGACAAATTTGGTTGGTTGAGTTTTTATGATTTAAATTGTTATATGCTTGTTTTCTTATATGGAAACATTAATCCAAATGATCATTTTACTCAAGCATATATTGAAAGCACTAGAACCTCCAAAATCATGCACAACATTGTCGATATCGTACTGCTATCAGCATACACAAATCGTAAAAGTTAGTGATCAAAGAGGTAAAACTGTGACTATCCAAGCTATCTCATATTTCTCACAGAAACACTGGTGGACAGCAGGTCCATACATAGAAGTTGCTTATCTTCCCGGTGAAGTTGTTTAATATGTCTGTTAATGTTACTTTGAATATATACATGTGCTTTCATATTATGTTCCTATTGCATAACAAGTAGTTTAAATTTTGCAATGCTACATAATGTTAATTTGAATATCGTTAATTTGAATACTCTAACCCTTTGTTTATCAATTTGTAACAAGATGACCCCTTCCACGCAGCACCCGTTGTACCTCCTTCTTGAGGTGGAGTACGACGAGCCGCACCGAGCACACTTCTTGAGTGACACCGATGCAGAGGTGCCCTTACCTCCTTTGAGGCCCCGCACGCACACCAGGGCGCACCAGTGGGACGAGCGTTACGCGCCGTACATATGGCGTGCCGACTTCCTCGAGCTTGTCCGTGTTGTCAATTACGGTCTTCCGCCCCTTGACCCAGCACTACTTACTGCAGCTGTAGACAGGTGCGAGTGCCTTCATTGTACGTAAACATTCTTATAACAAATTTGAGGCAACTAACGGTCGTTCTATTTTTATAACAGGTGGAGGCCTGAGACCCACACGTTCCACCTACCTTGCGGCGAGATGACCTTGACCATGCAGGACGTGAAGGCTATCTTTGGCCTTCGATTGGGGGGACTTCCAGTGACAGGTATAGTTGACAACGATCACTGGAGGGAGCTGGTGGCTTAGTTCATTGGCTTTCTTCTACCGGACGACGAGGTTTCCAAGAAAAATAAGTGAGTAATTCAAGCCTATTTAATACTTGCATTGTTTTCCTACAACCATCGGGTCTCATTTTCTTTGGTGAATTTCAGGAAAAGTTCTGGTGTTTCATCGTCGTGGATCACAGAGCGCTTTGATTACTTGGACCCATAGGCTAATGAGGCTCAGATCGACAGGTTCGCTAGAGTGTGGCTCTGGCACTTCCTTGGTGCTTTCCTATTCCCAGACGCCTCGGGCAACACCATCAGCGGGATCTTTCTTGACATACTATGCCAGCTGTGGGATAACATAGCGGCGTACCGCTGGGGCAGCGCAGTCCTGGTATGGACGTATCGACAGCTATGCGTTGCCTGTCGTCGCACCTCAGAGTATGCGAACCTTGGGGGTTGCTCCTACCTACTCCAGGTTTGGTGTTGGGAACGATGGCCCGTTGGGAGGCCCCTTGCTACTGGTTTACCGGTAAGTACTTCGGTTAACTATATTCTTCGAGGCAGTTATATATGATTAAATTATTAATGGCTAATTCATTATCGTGTTCAATGCAGCATTGGAATGGGCAGGATACACTCCCTACAGCTCTGTATATCTGGACGTAAGCAGAGTTAGTTAGAGGGAATGCGAGGCGCAAGTACAGGGAGTACACAGACGGTCTCGACGTCCTGACACAGCACCAGGTTACGCTCTCTTTACTATCATACATGTGTCTTGTTTGATGTACACTATATTACAACCTAACTCAATTATGAAATATTCAGGTGCATTGGTGTCCTTGGGATGCTCCGGAGCTCGAGTACTATCTGAGTCCTGTCACTAGGGATGAGTCAGACGAGTATCGTTGCAATGTCCCTCTTATTTTCTTCCACGTGGTCGAGATTCACTTGCCCATCAGGGTTTGCAGGCAGTTTAGAAGAATGACAGGCTACCCACCATCGCTTTACTCCACCAACCAAGAATTGCACGAGTGCGTTATCGATTAATAACAAAGCTATAATTCAGAGGTGCGTATAGTACAACTAACAATCGTTTTGTTGCAGGTATGACCGTAGGAAGAGGTACAAAGCCAAGGATTGGCGCGTGACACACAACGCGTACATCCAGTTGTGGCAGAACAGGGACCTGCAGCCGGTCGATGCGGGTCCCCCACACAACCAGCACACCTTCGACGAGTACCTGCAGTGGCTTCACAGGTCTACGAGGACATATATCAAGCCCCCGTATACTGAGGAGGCGATTGACGAGGACGACGAGAAAGATGTCATCGAAGATGTGTACGACGTTGCTACTAGGGACGACACACAACTATAAAGAGCCCCGCTTCAAAGATACGTGGTAAGATACTCGAATGGTACAATTTGTTATCCATTTAGTATTAAGTATGTGTATTAAAACTATCCAACCGTGTTTCTGTACCCAGACGATACAATTGTCAAGGCTGTCCAACGAAGCAGCGTTTCGGCTTTACGAGTCTAGAGGGCTGGGGCCAGGCGTTCTCGAGGCTTTTGTGGAGGTAAACATAAACTTTTTTGTTCCGAAAATGTTTCTTTAGTGTATATGTGTTTGGAAAATGCACTAACTTTAACGTCTATTTATGCAGAAGGTGAAGCGGAGCTGTAGGAAGCTAGCTCAGAAGCTGAGCTGCATGGACACTCCTTGGGTGGAACCGGCAGTCCCGACACGGTCGTGTGGCACGTCTTCTGGCTCTTTGAGGACACCAGCCGGCTCTTCTCAGCCGGTGACAGTGCCACTTCCATAGTGCGTACACCACCACATCATAGCGCTAGGAAGGACCCTACAAACGAGGACGACGATGACGACGACCCCCCAGGCTTCCGCAGACAGCACCACCAGTGGGACGATTGGCCGCAGGACGAGATCGACATGTCTCAGCTAGGTGGTGCCCCGCTTGGTACCCAAGGAGCCTCACAGGTAGTAACAAAGGTAGTTTCTTTAAATATGTAGGCTCCATGAACTAACGCTCATAAAGATTATAAGTAATCGTGCATATCATATACTTGCAGGGTACGAGCCGTACGCACCGGCAACGCGACCACACCGACGTTGGCTACCCTCCCAATGTGTTGCCTACAAATCCGAATAGATAGAGGCGTCCGAGGGATCCTTATACTCTTGGGACTTAGTTAGTTATGTCGAACTTATGTCAAACAAATATTATCGTCCAAAACTTGCAGACTCATGAACCAATGAAAATATTATGTGGCAACTTGTCAACTTGCGCACGAACTCCATTTATTTGCTTCATATTCGTTTCAATGCGTCGCGGCAGAACTGTCGGCGAGATTAACTAGCAACTAGTTCGGGAACCGGCAGTCCCGGCGTATCTTGCCGCCGGTGGCCGGCGTCTTGACCCCGATCCTCCCAAGCTTGGTCATCGCCGCCACGAAATCGCCGAAGAAGACACCCTGGTTAGACGCGTAGTAGTCAACCGTGCTGCGCGACCTCATGTCGGAGTAGATCACCTGGTCGGAGCCCAGGAGGCCCTTGCCGACCTGTAGGTTCCGGTAGAAGGCGTTGTCGAAGCCCACCGGCGAGGGGTCGAGGAAGGCGAAGGCGTTGGGGTCAGAGCAGGTGTCGTTCAGCTGCGACGCGAAACCGGGGTCCATGGTCGCGTCGCTGCCGATCCTCACCAACAGCAGCTGAGGCTGGTCTTCTGTCTGCGTCTAGGTCCTGCCGCGCCGTGGGCCTTGGCGCGTCAGTGCCGCGCCGTGGTCTATGGCACGGCAGACCCTGCAACGTCACTGGTCAGCGCCCCGGTCGTCGCCACATCATCCTCCTGCCGCGCCACCATGCATGGCGCGGGGCACAGGCGTTTCGCCGCGCTATGGCAATAGGCGCGGCAAAAAGTGTTAGTTTTGAAAAAATAAATTTAAACAGTGCTAGATTTAAAATTAGTTTACAAAAATTGTTAAAAAAAAATCCAGATGGAAGAGAAGGAATTAGAGGCTAAAGTAAAAGGTACGATGTTCTGTTGTTGCATGACACATTCTGGTAACTGAGTTGCTTTACATGCTGATTTGTTTTTATCTGCAGGTGTTTTGGTAAATGAAGTGAGGTTAGAACAAGCTAAATGCAATCTAGACGAGCGTGTCTACTGGTTCGGTCCTTCTACTTCCTCGTTTCCTTAAATGTTATTGCCGCAAGCATCTGATGTCTTATTATTCTTATACTGCAGCAATAACTGTAGAACTTCTATAGTTGATTTTCATAGAAGCTGCAAGTGCTGTCCTTACGATTTGTGCCTTGCATGCTGCTCTGAGTCCGCAAAGGTGAGATTCCCGGAGGAGAAGAGGTAGAGAGTGTGCGGTATGAAGTTGGAGGCATGAATTATGTTTTATCAAAGGGACATAGCTGCTAGTCAGGACCCAAATAACACTCGGCTACTGTGGAAAGCAAATAGTGATGGTAGCATACCTTGCCCACCAGAGGAGCTTGGAGGTTGCGGACGCTCAGATTTGGACCTCAAACGCTTGTTCCCACAGAACATGCTTTCCGAGTTAGAAGAACGAGCAAACAGAATTGTTAGGAGTGAAATATTTGTAAAAGCAGTAGCCGATAGAAATGATCAGTGCCCTTGCTATGATCATTCAGGAAAGGTAAGAAAACATGATGTGAGAGAGGCTGCACATAGGAAAGGACTGAGTGGTAACCACCCCTACTGTCCAGTTGCCACTGGTATCAAGGAGGATGACTTGGTGCACTTTCAGATGCATTGGGAAAATGGTGAACCAGTTATTGTTTCTGATGTTCTCCAGTTAACCTCTGGCCTCAGTTGGGAGCCGTTAGTTATGTGGCGGGCAATGCGAGACCGAGAATAAAAGAAGAGCAACACATAAAAGATGATCACTTTGCTGTCAGGGTATTGGATTGCCTTGATTGGTGTCAGGTTTGGAATTCTATTTCCCTGAATGTCTGAGTGCAGTTTAGTGGATTCTTTCTTATCTTATGAATTTGCGTCAGTTTCTATTTGAAATTTTCCTTGGAGTGTGCTGTTACTTTTCCTATTTATTGTCATGATATGGGATGGGGTATGGACATGTTCATCTCCCTGCATTGTCGATGCTTATGATCTGTTGTGCATCTTTTTTTTCCCACGTCTCATGGTGGTGGTATAGTTCTGTAGAAGTTTTGTTTACCATGTCAAGAAATAGGACATGCCTTACAAGTAGTAAAGGAGCTCGTTGATTGATCAGTGAATTTAACTTCAATTTTAGTATTCAAAGGATGGTGTTATTTGTATGCTGCGGATAAACTATGTGATCTATTGTTCACAGCGAATAGTAAAGTATTAACCACTTTGAATCACAATTTATTGTTGCAGGTGAAAATAAGTCTACACCAGTTTTTTATGAGATATAAGCAAGGCAGAACACACTCCACAACACACTGGCCTGAGATGCTTAAGCTAAAGGATTGGCCACCATCTAATTTGTTTGATCAGAGATTGCCTCGCCACAGTGCCGAGTTTATCAGAGCGTTGCCGTTTCCTCAGTACACTGATCCTCGATATGGTCCACTAAATCTTGCTGTCAAGCTTCCTCATGGGGCCCTGAAGCCAGATCTTGGGCCAAACATTTGCATAGCTTATGGATTTCCCCAAGAGTTAGGCAGAGGTGACTCTGTGACCAAGCTTCACTGTGACATGTCTGATGTGGTATGTGTTGTGTTGTTAATGGTATTTCTTTTCTTTTTTTTTCAGTTTATAGCATTTGTGGATGTCTTGTACCTTCAAAGTAGATTAGAACTTATGCAAAGCTATGTCTATATTACTGGGTAACCTGCATCTTGCTTTCTTTATGTCTCATTGCTTTTGTTTCTCGAACACGCTTGATATTGCTTTCTCTGATCTGATCCTCAAGCTGTATCTGTATACACTAACAATTGATAGTTATATATTTCTTATTTAGCAGTTGATTGGGTTTCATTAGTTTGTCATGGCAGTAATTAATTGCGAGACTTGTCTGTTTTACCAGGTAAATGTTTTGATGCACACAGAAGAAGTGTCCTACGAGGAACATGAGCTTTGTGAGATCGAGAAGACCAGAAAGAAAATGAAAGAACAAGATCTTCGGGAACTTTACGGTGTTTTAGAAGCAGGCACTGAACATAACCTATCACAATCTTCTACTGAATCCAGCAATATAGCTTTTGATGAAACATCAAATACCTTGTGTAATCCTCTGATGCATAAGACAACTGGTGGTGCTTTATGGGATATTTTCCGAAGAGAGGATTCTGATAAATTACAAGATTATCTTAGGAAACATGCCTCAGAGTTTCGGCATATCTACTGTAATCCTGTGAAGCAGGTATGTTTCCCCGTGCACTTTTTTAGAAATGTATTTCTGTTATTTTTCCTATTGTGACCAACCATTATGTTAATGATGCAGGTGTTTCACCCAATTCATGACCAGGCTTTCTACTTAACTGACGAGCATAAGAGAAAGCTCAAGGAAGAATATGGCTAGTGAACTTGTTTGTGTGACGTATTCAGACCTCACAAATGCAGTGTCTGTCTGGTGCTATTATGCATTTTCCCCTATGTGGTGGCATGCTCCTTTCAGGTGTCGAACCTTGGACGTCTGAGCAGAAGCTTGGTGAAGCTGTTTTCGTTCCTGCTGGATGTCCTCACCAAGTCAGGAATTTGAAGGTGTGACATACTGACATAGCGTAGACTGCTATAATGTTTATTTTTAATGTAGAAACAACCTGAAACAATTTCCATTGTGCAGTCTTGCATGCAGGTTGCAATGGGTTTTGTTTCCCCTGAAAATGTTGGCGAGTGTATTAAACTGGCTGGAGAGTTTCGACAACTTCCATCTTATCATGAGGCAAAAATGGATAAACTGGAGGTTGGCATGGCATAATTTTGAATGAACTTGTTTCTGCGTGTTATGCTTTACTATTTGATTTGATGATTAACCAGGAGACAAATCTGGTGCCTTTAGATTAAGAAGATTGCCCTTTATGCTCTGAAGGAAGTGATAGATTTCTTGGACCCTTCTTGCTCTGAAGGGTAAGCACTAGTAGGCCAGCTTTAAATGTTCAATCTTGAAGGTCAAGAACTGTATGAAAACAGAGAAATTTTAGGGGACATTTTAGTCAGTGGTCACTGATAGTTGCATGATTGATTGATCAGGTCAAGCAGTGGGGGCATAGCGATCATTCTGTCATGGATAGATTGATCGAGATCAAGTATCAAACAAAAAGAACGAAGAAGAAAAGGCTTGAATCTGCCTGGATCAGCAATTACTAGTTAGTAGGAGATCACTACTCTTGTTTCCTAATATATGTGGAATCCTAGATATGCATGTAAACTGTAAACACTACTACTGATTTGCTTGTTAGTCAACTTAGAGCAGATTCGCACGCAAGAAGCTGAAGAAGATGGTAGAGATTTGCTTGTCAGTCGGCCTAGAGATATTAGTGTTTGGTTATGCAAGTCGAGCAATTGCAATTGGTTGTTTAGCTAGTTACTAAGTTAGTACAACTCTTTAGCTCCACTGTTGCAGCCGGTGATTTGTGTGTGTTCGTCCGGATGACTGGCACTGGCGCCTCGCCATTGGCAGCCCCAGCCTTTGTACGTTTCTATCTCCTACTTAACGAAGCACGTGCCAATGCACGCTTTCGAAAAAAAAACAATTGGTTGTTTAGAGATAGCTATAGTTGCATTGCTTGAGAGAGAAGCTAATCTAATCGTTCCTCTAAATATCGACCCATCTGTATCAAGGCAAGCTAGCAATAACTTTACTTAAGGCTTTGTCTGGCTGCACTTCAGTCCCAATGTAACTCGCTAAATAGAATTGAGTGACTCTCTCGCCGGTGTAACCTTTTGGGTTGAACTGAATGCATAACATACTCCGTGTTGAGTCAATGAGAAGCACCGGAACACAGAAAGTTGCGAGTTGTCAACCTGTTCGGGAGGCCGTATCGTATCGTGGATTATTTACTGCTGGCTGGTTTGGTGTGAGAGAAAAACACTGTTCCCGGCTGAAAATTTACAATCGTTTACGAGCAAGCGAACACGCTGTGTGTTTGTGTCGTTCTTGGATACGTAAACGTAAGCATCCATACATCCGTGCCCAGTCGCCTCCTGGGCTTCTGGAGCAGCGCGGAGATGTACCACTCGTCCATGTGGATGCCCCTGTCGAGCTTCCTGCCGGCGTGCCACCGCAGCTTCTTGAACCCGATCCGGTCGAACCAGGGACGGACCTACAGGGTATGCAGGGTGGGCCACCGCATATCCTGGGGTCCGCCAGTCATAGGGATAGGTAGAAATTTTCAATGTAAACAAAAATTACATAAGAAATTTTTTTGGTTTACCGAATTGTATAAGAATTTTTTTTTGCTGCGCATACCCAGAGGTAAAAACCTAGGTCCGTTACTGGGTCGAACATGTGCAGGTACGTAGCGTCCAGCTGCGTGCCGAGGCAGAAAAAGTGGTCCAGCCAGAACACGCCGCCGGGGCGCAGCACCCGGTAGACGTCGAAGAGCGCCGACTCGAGCATGGCGTCGGGGATCCAGCTGCTGAGCACGTGCATGGAGTGCACCACGTCCAGCGTGCCGTCGAAGAAGGGCAGCCGGCTGGCCACGCTGAGGTGCATCGGCACCAACCCCCTTGACGCGATGAAGCTGTTGAACGGCCCGTCGAAGTTCATGGACGTGGTCACCACGGTGACGCCGCGCTCACGCATCCGCGCCGCGAACGTCCCGGACCCGCCTCCGATGTCCAGCCCGATGCGCACGCTGCCCTTCGGCAGCAACCCCAGCACGCCGTCCATGGTGTAGTCGAGCGAGTTCCGTTCGTCGTCCGCCTTCTCGCCGGGGCGGCGCACCCAGCGGTCCTTCTCCCGGCCGCGGAGGTCGAAGCAGTCCTTGCAGTCGTAGCTGCCCTTGGCCTTGCCGCGGTTCACGAGGCAACCGTAGCTCTTGCACGTGTACGCGTCCCACACGATGCTGGTGTCCGGCGGGATCGCCCACAGGCTCGCCGGCAGCGGCGTCGGCTCCACGTACCCCGCTGGGGTGGGCGGCCGGCACCGCCGCCGCGGTAGCGGCTCGCACCCCTTGAGCATCAGCCGCTGCGCGAACGCCTCGTCGGAGGGGCACTCCCCTCCCACCGTGTAGTTCATGTACCGCTCCATCTCGTCACGGTACCGGTGGCACGCCTGCCCCAGCGCCGGGAACGTCACCTCGTCCACGCCCCCGCCCCCGCCGGCGCCTCCGGCCAGGCGCCTGTGCGGGAGCTTGTGCGGGCCAACCGCCAGCTTCAGCTCGTCGCCGAGGTACTGGTCCCGGTCCCGCTGCCACAGCCCGCCGGCCGCCGCCTCCCGCTGCTCCTCCCGGGCTGCCTCCATGTCGCTCTTGGCGGCCTTGCCGCCGAGGATGGCCTCCATGACCTTGTTGGCCGCGGTGAGGCGCCCCGACAGGTCCACCACCTCGGCGTGGTTGGCCGCGAGCGCCAGCCCGGTGACGTTGAGCTCGCGGAGCAGCTTCGCCGAGCCCCACGCGTGGACTACGGCCGGGTAGTGCCGCCCGACGTGCGCGTGGAGCGCCGCGCCGGCACCGGAGAAGATGAGGATGGAGGCCGCGTTGCTGAGAATTAGGAGGAGCATGGTCATCCTCGACCTCCTGGCCTGCTGCTCCCTGGGCTTCTTGTCATTGTCGTAGTCCATGCTCCCCATGGTGCAACAACAACAACAAAACTCCGGTTCTTGCACGCAGTGACATTGTCAGCCATGGTGGTGTTATAGGGGCGTGGTTTTGGTAAGTCCTACTCCTCCATTGGTAGGGTGACTGACTGACTGGGTGAGGTGACGATCAGGGAAGGAGCAACTGAGCTGAGCTGTTGCTTGAGGAGTGAACAAAGTAGAGATCGATGGCCTCTCAACTTGTCAGGTTTCTTATCTGGGAGTTGGAGGATTTCAGCGGCTGCTGACTGGCTGAGAGCTTGCATCGGTCCATGGTCATGTCACCCCACCAGCCTGCACTGCAGTAGTATTCACTTGCAACATGCAGTGGTAGTCAACGCATACACACCTTGCCGTTTTGACACGCCTCGCTCGCTGAACACGGGGGCCATCCACTGCTGTACTCTGTTGGTGATGAGAGATCACAAATGAGTGCCACGATGGCGATGCCTTTGCGTCCCCGTGAAAAGATCCCGCATGTGTGTATTCTACTACAGGCACAGGCAGTCAAGTCAGCTCAGCTCGATCTCCTCCATGTGTGCTTTCACAGCAAGGCACCGTAGGTACGAGCCAGCTGCTGCTGTTTTCCCGGCTCAATTTAGCACTGCTCACACACACAAAAGCAAAAAATGGTCTAGCAGATTCAGAACTGAAGATGCAGTCAGGATCATGCATTTGTTCTCAAACTCGTGTCCCTGTTGCAGCCACCTGCTGGCTTCTTGCCTTCTTGACATTGACCCTTCTATGCAAAGCCACAGGCCACAGCAACTGCTGCACGTCCTTGTTGCAGCCACCTGTGGTGGTGGTGCTCTAAAGGAGAGACACACTTGCAGACCTATGGTAAGCTCATGTAGCCGTTTTTGCTTGCGAATGGGATTGCTTGGGAACCTCAACTAGAAGAGGCACCTTTTTAGTAAATGATTCATAAACTTCACACATCATGGTTCATAAAATAAAGAACATGACTATGATCAAATCAGCTCGAGTCACCATTTCCCCTCCCTCTTGGCTCTTACTAGTGCGCAAGCCTTTCTACATCTGATAAATCCTACAGAATTCTGCTGATTCTCTTAAATGAAACAGCAGTCAGGAATTCAGACATTCAACTTCACTTCCATTGTGTACTGTCTACAATTAATATCATAACGAGCATCTCATATGTACAGGCAGATCAACAACTGGAGAAGGTGAATCTGTACACAGCCATCCCAGATTAAAATCCGCCCCCCAACAGTAAACAAAAATTCCCACTGTCAAATCCGACAGTAGCCAAAACCTGTATTGCTAAACTTACCTCCAACCCAGTATATGTAAATCAATCACCTAATCTTGTAAGCCCAGCCATGCTCGCTCAAAAATGCATGTACAGCTTCCTTGATGGCAAGATTCGGAACCAGCTGGTGTGGTTCAAGTGCCTCACGGGTCACCGGGTCAAACTTCCCCACCTATATAAATTACAAAGTTCATAAATTTGATATGTCAACCACAAGTGCTTTTGCAAGAAACTGTCAGTGCTTGTGTCGGTTACCGTTTGAAGGTGGTCAAGAAGTACAGCCCTCTCATAAGTAACCCCGCTTGGGGTGATCACCGGGTCTCTGAAGATATCAAGTGTAATTTTGCAACAGAGATGGTCAGGAACCTGGAAATAAGATAGGCTGAGTGGTTAGACCAGACAAAACAGCCGAAGTAAATGTTGCCTGAGGCAGCGTAGTACTTCTGCTGGAGTATCAGTTTTTGCAGCCTTCTTGAAAACTTCGTCGAGCTCATTTAGCTGTTCTACTGGCACACCTGCAGCTGGGTTATCAAGGCTGTTGTAACACCTTAGGGCTTCTTTACATGCTACCCTGGAAAACACAGAACAAATACATTAGGGTACGACAGTATAACCCTGTCCGGAAAAGAGAAATTCGTCACGCACTTTAGCTTTTGCAGTTGACAAGTTCGCTCTCTTGATAAGCTCTCCCATTTGATGTATTTTGCTTTAGAAAGCTCCTGCCATATCTCTTCAACCATGTAGCTTGCAGGATGTGCACCCCTTCCAAGCTCCAATGACTAGTTTTCAAAAGTTTGTTCATCATTAAAAATGGAATAAAGAGAAATTGAATTCTAAATTCCTAACTCAAACAACATAATTTGTCCAAAGAGACAACTGCACTAAAGGTGGTGGGACTAGAAATTATAGTTTCCCTGCATTTTGCATGTGCTGTCTAATTGTCAGTTCAACTATTCGTAATTCAGACTCAGGTCACTCAGAACTGTTGTCCTTACCAGATGGAAAAATACAAGAACAGTGTATCTGGATGATAATATTTTGTTAAAAGTGGTGTTCTATGCTCTTTTACCAATCCTGTGCCGAGACAGCTAACATTGTATGTGACAAGATGGAGCAGGAGCAAAGACCAGCTTGAGGCCTTTATTTATACACAAAAGTTCGATGCTAGGACCAAAGAAATAAGATCGTCAGCCCACCATGAGAACATTATTTTTATTTATACACAGGCGTGCACAGCTGAAGCAAGCAACTGTGGGAGTTCAGCTTGATAAAAGTTTTGAACAGGGCAACTGTTGATGGTTGGTAAAGGTGTTCAAAACTGATTATAAGTTAAAACAGCAAACTAGAAAAGTAATACAAGCACACAGACACATGCTTGTGAGAGAGGGGGATACCTTCTCCAGTGATTTTATTCCTTCTGACAATCTTTGGCTGTTGACAAGAGCTAGCCCGAGCATGTAATGCGCCTGCCAACAGAATAAGCAAGTTATCATCTTAAGACGTGATTAGGAGTATTAACATTGTTGGATAGGATAAATGTGATGTTTTCCTCATCCAGGAAAGAAAAAAAAAGAACTATGCTCAAATGCGGTGCCACCTCAATTTCAACAGTGAATCAAGTCCAATTCAAAATGATTAAAGCCAGAGAGTCCAGATGGATCGAAGTTTGCAAACAAGTAACAAACAGATTCTATGGTGTTTGGTTTTATTTGGGTTATATGTTCCTTCCCTTGACTCCATAATATCACATCCCAAGATGTACTCATAAACATATATTACACGCTCCCTTGAAGAAGTCAAAGAATCCTGGAATAAACCCTGTACATGTATGAAGCATATATCTTACTAAATACGTCACCAGGCCATCACTAGACGTTGTGAAATTAAGGTCAGTTTCATATTGTACTAAGTCGTACAATCAAGTTAGCATACAGAATCATAACAGTTCCAAAAAATAGTTTCGTTTTGGCTCTAAAATAGATATTCTTAGTTATCACTTGCATTGTAGTGTGCCCACGAGTGAATGTGAATAAATCATAAAAAATGCAATACAAATGGAAAATTCATGGATCAAATGTCTACAAGTTTTTACTTCACCTACTTCTTGAAAAGAAGTTGGTTCCCGCAATACCAAATGAAGCATAACTCAGCTAGCATGTGGATATGCGCAAGAGGTGTGATACTGGTATACTAACTATATTACATGTTTGGTCAATGAAAAATTTTGATCATTGAAATTCCTTTCCTTATGAGAAAACAAGGTATATAGAATGCACAGAGTGCTTTCTCGATAATTTGGTATGTGCTCATAGTCAGATGGGAACAAAATGCATACAGGAATTAATTTAATGAAAGACCAGTCAAGGCACCCACTCACCTTAACAGACTGGCTGTCAAGCTGTATAGCCGTTCTGCAATCTTCCTCGACTTTAGCCCACTCACTGGCCATTTAGATAGGAACATAATACGATGCAAACACTCAGATTGTGCACCAAATTGATCAATAATACAAAACAATATAAAGGGACTAGCAATTTTACATACTTCCGCTTCCTATAGCAAAGTGCTCGGTTGGTCCAGTAAACTGCAACATTTGGGCAGAGAGTTATGGCCTGTCAACCAAAATAGGCACTGAAGTTAGCAAGAGATGTGCAAGATAGGTTTGAACTACAGATGACATCAGTTTTACTAACATTCAGTGTCCATTGATTCAACTATGTATGTGCATTTACTACAACTAACATCAGTTTCTTGGAAATGCCAGACAAAAGCGGCTACTCAGGTGACTAGAGGTAGGCTATAACCTTAGCTGAGTGGCTAAAACCAACTCATTCGATGTCACGTTCCTTAATCTAGAATCAATTTTCAATAAGTCCGTGGTTTGCAAGGATAGGAATGTTAGAAGCCTATGATGTTTGTAAACCCTGGCAAAAGATTGGAAAAATTCCTCTATCAACTCTCCATTCAATTTCGTACCTCTCCCAGTAACCCCTCTTAATCCATTTCCCTGCCTAACATTAAATGTCTAGCAAACTACAGAGGACAGCACATTAGCAATTTAGCATTGCCTAGCCCCACCCCCAAAATAGCTTAAAAGGTAAAATTCTCTGCAACCTGCATTGTTGCACAGCAAATCTCAACTAGATAGTAAGTATCTCTGTTTTAACTTTCAAGCAAACAAACTACTCCATATAGCAGGAAGCAATATTTAAAATCAGTAATCAAACCACCTAACCGGTGCCCACAAATAAGCCTACATCACCAGGTAACCATCTTCAATCCTCAAGTGTTTTCTTCAACAAAAGAGCCAAAACACATCACGTGAACCATTCTGAACAGATGTACCAACACCACAAACCAATTCACCAGGCCATGGTTACTACACAGTAGCATTCTGGAAGCAATCTCGGATAATCCAGCACAGATTCAGAGAATTTATCAGCGGGACGCACCAGCCGCGCTCAGCAAAATGCTGCGCACCACACTTGTAACCCACTCCACAGCACATCGACAGGACAGGGGAACAGAAAGGACGCCTATATAACTGGTATTCGGAACGGCAAGCGCGCAGCACGCGAATCAGGCGGAGAATCCGGCCGCCGGGAGCGGGGAGTCAGTCGGTCAGGCGTACCCCGGTGTAGACGTCGATGGCGGCCCTGAGGCGTTCCTTCCTGAAGAAGGCGTTGCCCTCCTGCTTGAGCAGGTCCGCCTGCCGCTGCGA